GCCGGCCGAACGCGCGGCCGAGGCAGCAGAACGCGCGGCCGTGGCAGCAGAAGCCGATCCAGGCGACGTAGCAGCCAGAGTGGTGTCGAGCGAAGTAGCTGCCGAACGCGCGGCCGTGGCAGCAGAAGCCGATCCGGGCGACATAGCAGCCAGAGTGGTGTCGAGCGAAGTAGCTGCCGAACGCGCGGCCGAGGCAGCAGAAGCCGATCCGGGCGAGCCAGGCACCGTAGCGGAGGCAGATGAGCCCGCTGCGGTGGCAGCCGAGCTGCCGTGCCCGGGAGGCACCGTCGAGGGTGGCTCGTGGCAGTGTCGAGCCTGAGCCTCGGGAAGTAGCAGCGGCGGCGACGGATCTCATGTGATGACGCGCGCCGAGGTCGGGGTAGACGGCAAGACCTGCGCAAACGGAAACTGGCGTTCGTCGAAGAAGACGTGACGGGAGATGATTATCCGGCCGGTATGTGGATCAAAGCACTTGTATCCAGCATGGTCGGGAGGGTAGCCCAGGAACACACATGCACGTGAGCGAGGGGAAAGCTTGTTGGGGGCTGTAGCTGTAGTGTTAGGATAACAGAGGCTGCCAAACACACGAAGGTGGGAGTAGGAGGGGGTCTTGCCGTATAGGAGCTCAAATGGCGTGATGTGTTGACGTGGCCGGCATGGATGTAGGTTTAAGAGGTAGGTCGTGGTGGCTAGGGCGTCTGGCCAAAATTTCGTGGGCATAGAGGAATGAAACAGGAGACTGCGAAGGCCTTCAGTTAAAGTCCGTATGATCCGCTCGGCACGACCATTCTGTTGAGATGTGTAGGGGCAAGTGAGATGGAAGACAATGCCGTGATTAGCGAGAAAATTACGAAACGCCTTGTTATTAAATTCACGGCCATTATCGGTATGAATGGTGAGAATAGGTCGTTGGAATTGTGTGGCGACGTATGCATGAAACGTGATCAACACTTCAAATACATCAGACTTGCGTCGGAGAGGAAACGTCCACGCAAAGTGAGTGCAATCATCAAGAACAACCAGAAAGTATTGGAAGCCAGAGTTGCTAAGAACCGGCGATGTCCAAACATCACAATGTATTGTATGAAAGGGAAACGGGGCAATGGTAAATGATTCACTAAAGGGCAAGCGTACATGTTTGGCAAGCTGACATGCATGGCAAGTATGAGAGGTAGCTTTATTACAATGGAAATCAAAACTGTCTAAAACATGTGATAATGCAGCACGTCCAGGATGGCCAAGCCTTTCGTGCCATAGATCGGCACTGATGGCAACAAAGGCAGTGGGAGAAGCAGCTGCAGCCGAGTGGAGAGGATAAAGATCGCCGCTGCTATTACATCGGAGCACCACCGTCCCAGTGCGAAGGTCCTTAACAGAGAAACCAAAGGGGTCAAACGTCACAGAGACAAAGTTTTCACGTGTAAGAGCACGAACAGAGATCAAATTCTTAACAAGAGAAGGGGAGATGAGAATGTGGCTAAGAGAGAGAGGATTAGAGGTAGTGGCGATGGACGAGGAGCCAGTATGGGTGATGGGAAGGGGAGCACCGTTTCCGACGAGTATATGTGAGGGGGAGGAGGAGGGCTTGACATCCGAGATCATACCAGGGTTTGCTGCCATGTGCGACGACGCCCCGGTGTCGAGGATCCAGTCGCCACCGCCAGCATAGGGCTGCTGCTACATGGCGAGGAGGGCGGCCTGCAACGCGCTGGTGTCCCATGGAGGTGGTGCAGCGGTCGACGAAGGAGGCACGGCGGGCAGGCCGCCGCCATAGGCAGTTGCGGTGAGCCCCATCGGAGGACGAGGTCCGAGCAGACCGGCGCTTGGGGGCCGCGCCATCATAGGCCATGCCTGAAACATGCCGGTCCACGGGTTGATGCCGGCGCCGCTGTAAGCGGGTGGACGCTGCATATACGCCGAGGGGGAGGGCGCGCCTTGCGGCGGTGGAGCCCCGCCGGATCCTCCATGGCCACCACCGTTGCCGCCTTTGCGGCGCTTGCGGCCGCGCTGTCCGCCGCCCTGGATGCCGTTGCCGCCCTGCCCGCCGTTGCCGCCCTGCCCGCCGTTGCCGCCTTGCCCGCCGTGGCCGCCGGCGCCACTGGACGGAGGGGGGACGGGAGGCGGAGGAGCTGGGCTGGGCGTGGAGATTGGAGGAGGCATACGGCGGCCGGCGTAGAGAGCCGTGGCCGACTCATGGGACGCCGCATGATCGATACGGCGCTCTTCCTGGAGGAGGTAAGTCCGCGCCTGCAGGAACGTCGGCAGCTTGCTGTCGTCGTACGTCATCGTAGAGATGGCGTGGGCGAACTTGTTGGAGAGCCCGCGGAGCATGTTGGAGACGAGGCCGCGGTCGGTCACCGGCATGCCGCAGTCGAAGAGCGTGTCGGCGAGCGTCTGGAGGCGGGTGAAGTAATCCGTGATGGAGAGGTCGTTTTGATGCAGGCCATGGAACTCCTCTAGTGCGAGAATACCCTGCTGATTCCGGTTGGAGAGGAAGAGCTGCCGGATCGCCGTCCAGAGCGTGTACGCCGTGGGGTTCCGGTGGTTGACCGTGCCCCGAACTTGGCCGGAGATGGAGCCGAGAAGCCACCGGATGATACACCAGTCGATCTGCGTCCAGACGGCGTCGGTGAGCCGGTTCCGGGCGTCGACGGTGCCATTGACATGGTCCTGAATATTGTAGGACATGAGAAGGGCATGAAGGAAGGAGCTCCAGGTGGTGTAGTTCGAGGGGTGCAGCTCTAGAGTGACGGGCATGGCTGAGGCGATGTTGAGAGAGAGGATGAGGTGGAGAGGCACGGAGGGGCCGGCGGAGGATGGCTCGCCAAAGGGGTTTGTGCCGGGGCCGGAGCCGGCGGAGGAGAGGTCAGAGAAATCCATCGATGAGCGGAAGCGAGGAAGAAGATCGTGGAAGTATCTGATACCATGTAGAGACTAAACAGGAGGTTTGGGATCGAACACTTGCTTGTATTGATCTGTTGCTCAAGATATATACAGGGTCCAACGTACACACGCATATCTCTAACCAACTAACAGACTAACTAGACAGCCCTAGATGCTAGGAAGAGGCATGCAAGGCATGCCCGTCGTGGTTAGTTGGCGACGTGCATGGGCCTGTAGACCCGTTCCAACAGAGAGGAAGACGGCGCGGCCGTGGCGGCAGTCGAGGGCCCGCCAGAAGCGGCGATCCGGAGCGGCGAGGGAGAAGGAGGAGGCGGTGGTGGAGACGAAGTGGGGGATGCGGTCGTCATCCCAGTCGTGGAGGAAGCCGAGCACCGGGGGTGCGCGGTGGAGCTCGTGGAGGCGGCGGCGGAAGGCGGGGTGGGAGACGATGCCGCTCCAGGCCTTGCAGACGAGGGAGGCGCGGAGGAGGCAGGCCGGGTCGTCGGGCGGGAGGCGAAGGAGGATCTCTTTGATGAGCTCGTTGGGGAGCGCCGGCGGCGAGGTGGTTGCTAGGTCTGGGAGCGGCGGCGGCAAGACGCGGCGGCGAGGCGGAGCGGCCATGGTGGGTGTGTGGGTGGGGATCGGAAGGAAGTGGTTGGGCCCAGCGCCCCAGCCCAACCAGGCTGAGCAGTTTTCTTTTTCTGGTTTTTTTTTTTTTTTGACTTCGAGTCGCGCGGCCAGATTGGTTTCGGATTGCTTTGGAACTGAATTTTATTTTATTTTGAGAGAGAAGTTTTCAATTTGCATAAGTTTTCCTTTGTAGATTGAGTTTTAGAGATCATCTGAGATTCCAACGGAATCACTCCGTCCATATGAATTTTGGAGGAACACTCTTAACAGGAAATTGATTTTGGACATCATAGAGAGATATTTACATGTCCTCCGCGAGCCTTCCCTCTTTTCAAATTCTTATTATTAGATTTATTATGTGAAGCGTCTGAAAGTCCAGAGAGCCAATTTCACAAATCTTCAACCATGTTGTTATTGACCAAGTTTTTCTATCACGGAATCATCGATGGCAGACTTGTGTTTAAAAAAATTGTCCATTCATTACTGGATGCCAATTGCATTGCAGTGGAGACACAATATTACCACTATCCAGGTTTATATTTTATACTTCCTCCGTCTCATAATAAAAATGCTCTTATATTATGGGACGGAGGGAGTAGAAACTAATCTTAATAATTAGATGGCCGGATTGGTCTTCCACGGTGTAGTGTGCCTTCTCGCTAGATTTCACTTGTTTATGCTTATGCATTCCATGGCCGCCCCCATCACCTTACTTCATTATAGTTTTGTTGTGCATTTGTTTGCTCAGTCTGCCAATTGATGTTGAGAGATCTGAGCTCGCTTGCCACAATGTAAATTTGTAATCTGTAAACTAATTGCTATGTTCCAACAGAGATGTATAGATTAATTTTCATTTGGAAAGAAAAATACTAATTGTCACTAGTAGCCTGCCTCTCAGAATTAGCAAAAAATTAGTTGTTATACTAATTGTTTCATTGCAACCGATGCAACATGTAGACAATAAATGACTTGGAACAAATGCACAAAAATTGCAAACTTCAACAGCATTTACTGATGCACATTAGCAGCAGACTGAGATATTTGTACAACTTCTCTAGCTAATCAATCAAGGAAGGCAAAACATAATTAATCAAAAAGAGTTTTGCTTAAGGAGGACATTTTACACAGCAAAGAACGTCCAAAATGGTTTCTCAAATACGACTCTGCCATCGCAGTAGAGAGCAACCAGCATAAGGTTTTGCGGAGCACGGCAAACAATGCAATTAGAGATACAAAGGTTATGGGATGGGGAAGGTATCACTGGAAAACAGCTAAAAATAATGGATGGGCATCTCACTGCAGAGAGCCACTGATGATCCATCGGTTATTATGCGACCAGATCAAATATCTTCCATCTCCCTACTTGTATACAGTTCAGCAGATACGTGTTCGCTACACCATTGAGGGAACATGAACAGGAGTGGTAATATCTTGTTAGGACCTGCGATGCATATCTTGGCATTTTCAGACTTTCTATCTAGCTGCCATCACATTTCATTCACGGATGGTGAATTATCTGCTGCAAGTCTCTTCTTGTCATTAGCTCGTTTCATGTCTCTGCCAACAATCTCAAAGTCAGTTACGCTACTTCCAGTGCTTCCTCTGGCGGCTGCCGTAGACATAGTTGGTGAATGGAAGCTGTTGCTTGATCCCGCCATCTGTGAAGAAGTCAAAGATGCAGTTCTTGCCATAGTATTGTTAACATTCTGCTCATGACTTGTCACTGAGACCACCCTCTTCATAATATTATCTATACTATCACTTGGGGTTGACATTGCTTGCTTCAGTTCTTCAAGCTGAACCAAAACAATTAAGAGAGATGCTATTATTGTTCCTCACAAGCAAGGAAAAAGTTCTTCGTTCATAGAGCGCTACTAAATTCATGAGCAGAACCAAATTGGTAACATGAATAAAATTCAGTTTGTTCACCTTCTTCTGGAGTCGAGGCAACATTCTAGCAAGGTAAGATATCGCATCTTCTAGAGTCGACTTACCTAAGTGTCCTTTATCAGATAACAAAGCTTCCTTGGCATTTATCAGATTATGCATAAGCGACTTGCCTACTGAAATAGCCTTTGCACAATATGGGATTGCATCCCCAACCTTGGATGCTAACTCAAAGGCCAAAATGCGGTAGTTTCTAGAACTGAATTAAGGTAATCACAAAGGATGAATCAAACCCAAAGACCAAAGTATTACAATAGACCAGCATTATGTACTGACATTTTTCTCTAGCGATCACAGTTCCTCCCTAAATGTACACTTACATGTGGACTTCAGCAGGTGAAGGCACCCGTGCAAGATTTGGGTTAACTCAAATTATTTGAAACCATACACTAATATCCTAATTTATACACCAGAGTGATTGACACTACTATTATCACCACAAGAAGGATACTGCTGGAAAAATCGAAAATGGTCAGGCCTAACCAAATGTTCCAAGATCGCTAAAGCTTCGAAGTAGTAATCGATTGAGCTGTGTCTGTCCTCTACAAAAGTGAAAATGAAATGTGAGGCCTTGAATGACCATTCACCAGTCTAACACACTAGTAACTGAGATAGCTGAGATTACCTCTTCTCATGGAGATTTCAGCCAGAGAATTCAATATATTAACCTTCTCCATTGTCTTATCTGGACTCTTGGCAACTATCACCCTTGCAGTATTCAACATTTTCCAGGCCAAATCCAAATCAGAATCATCTCCATCGCCTGTCATGTTCCCATCATTCTGATCTTTGCCATGCAAATTTGCCCCTAACCAACAACTCTATCAGCACTTACCATTGAAAGAAGAATATTGTTTTTCTTTGGAAAATGTATGAGTTTTATTATTCTCGGCCTCTGAATCGAGGATGCACACAGCCCAAGAAGAAACAAACAGCAATGAGATGCATACAAATGCATACAAGATCCAACTTACTTAGTATACTATGATCATATATTATTAGTAAAAACATTTCAAGTCCCAAACTATTAGTACTTTGCATTAGCATTGGGAAAGTACGGATTAGAAGTTTGTCAGGTATACTCTTCATTAGGCATGAACAGACGATGACAACTTATTGCAACCAGTTGTGTTATATATAGATTAAAAAGGATAATAATGTCTTTCAGTGTATCATCTTTGCTTGTTGTGGGTGTGATTGATTCGTCATTTGGTGCACGCTTTGAACCACTACCTGAAGGATTGGTTGCCTTCCGAGCTTTGCCTAACAAGGCACCTCCATAACTGTAAAACGTGCTAGCACACTCAGGAGCAAGGCCTCCATAATGTTGAACCCTACATGACAACAACAATGTGTAAATTTGCTGATGCATCATCGTCAAGGTTATAACATAAACATATCTGAAGTAGAACAAAACCATTTTAATGACACGAGGTGTTAACTATGTTCTGTCGACTGTCTTTTATAGTTACTATTGCTTTCATAGATTATGAAGTACAAATCTGAGGAAGAGGAACCATATAAATGAACTGCACAGCGATCAAATAGGATAACACCTATCGCTCAAGCACTTGGACTTTGATTTAATTCTCACTGCATTACAGACATCACAAAAAAATATGTTGTACTCCCAGGTGTTGTTATCAGGTCATATTGGTTAACTGGACTCACTAAACCATCAAATACCAACACCCATACCTTCACGCTAACTGTCAAACACATGAAACTAAAACACCACACACTCGGTAACCACATTGTCATAGAACATGCCACTATGCACATGAAAAGAACAATGAACTAACTGGAAGTTTTCGTTCCCGCAAACTATCCATATGTTACGCTACATCAGCATGCCTAGCTAGGAGAACAAGTGGAGTTTGGGAGTAGAACCCAAACCTGATCTTGAGAGCATGTCTGAAGCAGCCTGCCGCGTTGGCAAAGTCCTTCTCGTTGATAGCCTTGCACCCCTTATCAAACAGCACCTGCGCCCATTCTAGTGATTTCTCCTCCCAAACCCCTTGCTGACCACCCCTCCTCAGTAGGTTCAGCCACGGCGTTGGGCCGTGGTGTTCACCGCCGGGCACTTGGAGCCTAAAATGTGGAGTGTAGAAGCTGACAACTGGAATCAAGTTACAGAAGCCATGACTAGCACACACCTTTTCCCCCTGCTCCGACCGTAGCTCGATCATGAAGAGACTATAAACAGTTGACACGAAAATAGCATTTGCTCCCTCAGCAAAGCCCAACACTGGAGAAAGACATTTTGAATCGACACCAATTGGGAGCAAATCGAACAGGTCAACAATCCGGCTCAGCACCCATCGTGCATCAGTGCCATCACTCGCCTCCCTTTTCCACAATATGAGCTGCAGATCAATGGCTTCGGCAACCCCCAGCCCACCATCCTCCGCCAGCATGAGGTTAAATCTTTCGTTGTCACTGCTGTAAACGTCGGGTGGTGTGTCCAACACAGCCAGTTCACCACTGTTCAAATTGTACTCCAGGATCATCCCACCGTCGGACAGGAAGTAGAGCAGAGACCTCCCAACCAGCACGCTGGAATGATACTCAAAGTCCATGGTGAACTCGTCTTGCCTCGAGTGCAGCTTGCCTCAAGTGCCAATCTCCGACGAATACAAGCACGCCGATGTGACAACGTCTGCG